AAAGAAAGAAAGAAAGAAAGAAAGAAAGAAAGAAAGAAAGAAAGAAAGAAAGAAACTGACCTCCTACTGCGAAGTGCCTTTCTGGGCACTGATAGTGGACTAAACAAGAAAAAGTTAACTTTACTCTTTCAAGCTAGAAAGCAAGGCTTAAAGATTCCTTGCTGTCCCACAAAAAAATATATGCATGCATAAATCTTAGCTAAGTGTAGTTCAATTTCTTTATTCAATTGTATCAAATAAAAACCTAGTCCAGCAAGAAGCACCAAAAAAAACCCCACAAGAAATTGCAATAGCAAACTGAAGCAACTAATAATTAAATCTTTAGTTACTAGAACTATATCTGAGTCCTTCTGATAAGGTGGGACGATCTGGTCCATCACCAGTGACCAGAATAGCACTTCATAATAAGTCTAATACCATTCTTAGTGTTAAAGGATGGAACTGACAGGAAATGGATACTGTATGCAAGAAGTCAAATTTGCCTATTTTCTAATGAACTTGGAAGGTTTGGCTCAAATCTACTATTTAGTAGTAGAACTGTTAATGTAGCCACTCCCCTGAGGGAGGAAGTTGTGATGCCCTAAGATAGGTGTATCTTGCTTTATATGAAAGCAATGCATTCCCTGACCCACTAACTGATGATGGGTATCTTCCCAGTTTTCCTGCTCTGTTGGGGACAAATAACCTTTCAGTCCTCTGGCTCTCATTGTTATATTCTCTGGTATTAATAACCTGGAGGCGTTTAGCTGGTGCCTGGTTCATTTTGTTGGATGGCTAGGTCAGGAAGAAATTGGGAAGCTTAGTCTCTTGGGCTCAGTGGAATCTGGCACTGGCCTCGATCACAAAAAGGATTCAGTTGTAGCATCACCTTGTTTTGATGGAATTTGCCTGGATCCCTTGATACCGAGAAAGCCCCTAGTTGTCCAAGTATCTTAGTTGAGATTAAAGCTATCAAAAAGGCTGTCTTGCAGGCAAGAATTTTAATGAGGGTCTATCTGATGAGTTTGAAAGGAACAGCAGTTAGAGCTCTCAAAGCCAATAACAAACCCATAAAGGAAAAAAGGATAAGCAGCTAAAAATTGAAGGGAAAAACAGAATGATTGGAATTTATGAATGTATTTATTGGGCTATTCTTGGATTGTAAAGATTCTTTTTTTCAATTATAGTGTGTAAACTTAATGCAGAAACTTTTTAAAAAGTGTTTCTTACTTCAGGTTCCTAATTTCTATCTACAGAAAATCTCCGGTACCTATATCCTGTGTGGAGGAGAATTCTCCACCAAACCCCAAGGCCAGCATGGTCAATAACTTTTTAGAAGACTGTTTGCAGAATGGTCAACAGGTAAATAAAACATGAAGGGGTGAACATTAACGTTAAGCCTGCATTAGTTAGAGCAGGGATTTCCAAAGATTTTGAACAATTGTCAATACTAGTTTAGGTATGTGGGTGAATGGTCTCAATTTCACTGAGGCAACAATAAAGCCAGGAATGCCAGCAAGTAAAGTGCAGAAAGAAAGTAAATAATAAGCTAAATAAAGGTAAAATATAAATGTAAAGGAAATTTAAATTTAGATTTGATTGTTTACATTTGACGTATCATTTACAATCATTTGTGCTGTTTCCCTCAACTACCTTGATCTAGCTTTAATTCCAGAAAAACTCATATTCTGGAGGGAATCATGGTGCCATACTTCTGTTTCAATATTGTCCAAATGCCCAGAGCTTAAAGGGAATGTTTTGGTTAGACTTCTTAACTATTAGGTTTCAAATATCTGATTGAATACAATATTTCTGTCTTAGGACAGAACAAAGGCTAAAGAAGAGATTTCCTACAGAGATTTCAGAATATTCTTTATAGGTAATAGGAAGTAAACATGGGGGGAAATTCAATTTTACCCCACAGTCCAAAAGTCTCATTTGGGAAAGATAACTTTGATAGGCAGAGTCTTTCTTTCTTTGATTCCAGGAGAGTACTTTTTCGGGTGGAAATCATCATGGTCCTGTAGAAGCTTTGAAACTTATGCTGTTTAACCTTCAAGCCGTTCAGCACAGCTTTCACAAAAACAAATCTGACAGATCAAAGGAAGAGTCCCCCAAAGTAAGCAGCTCTGTGAAAAACGAGATTCTCCATGGTGTTTAATTATTGTACGCTTATCTGCATCTGGCTCTGCACTATTAGCTCCTGACTGCAGGTCTGAGTTCCTAGATTTATTCTTGAGTGGTGAGACTTTGACATTTTCTCCCAAAGATGGCAGATCAGTGGATGGATGGATGTGTCTAAGGACCCATGAAGGAAACCCCCATATGTGGTTCTACCTTTAAACTATACAGTTCTGTGGAGAGAAAAAATCTTTTAGCTTCTCTGAATGCTTTGCATATCTTTTCCAGTGAGTGTTTTCAGTTTCCTGTGAGTTCTACTGGTAAATTATTGGAATCGGAGTGTAATAGTTACATTATAGTTTGGAGGTTCTATTTTTTCATTCTTATCACCTGATGTAGCCCTTCAGCTCTGCCTTTTAGAAAAGAGAAGCATCTCCTTTAAGGTCCAATTTGAGACAATGACAGCATTATATTGCATTCCCACCCACCCACCCCACGCGTATGAAAGAGTGATAGAAAGGGGAAAATAAAAAAGGCAGATGATGAAACAAGATCAAATAAAGAGAAAGGAAGTGTGCTAATACAAGACCTGGTAGGCAAAGTGTAGGAAGAAAAATATATAGGACCCAAGAGGGAGATCAAAATAAGGATTCACAGAAGGGCCCTTTTTGGGTGGTGGAAACATCTGAAACCAGCTGGAAGGCAGGTTGCACTGGAGAACACGAGGTGCAGAGCCCCAAGTGATGATGTGCCAGGAGATTCCTTATCCGTTTTCACCATCCTTTTCCTCCTCGTGGAAGAGCCAATGAGGGGAGGTGTGCTGGTTCACAAGTGGCAGGGGGGAAAAGCAGGAGTCTGGACAAGGAGCATGAAGATGGCATAGCTGTGTAGTTGGTGAGTTACCAGCCATCTTCTATTCCCCAAATAGGCAATCTGTCTCAAGCTTCTTTCAACCTTAGGGACCATGATTAGGCCAGGCAGCACTAACAATGGTCACCTCCCATTTCAAACCCAGAAACCGGGATTGGGCCAGCAGCCCTTGGGTATAAAAACAACAATAACTTGTCCGTCATCCTCCTGAAAACACCAGGAGATATCAAAGCCTCCTTATCCTATGTGGCAGCACATGAGTTATATTCCATCAGAGTTAAGGCAAATCTTGGCAAACCGGCTTGCCTCCGGGATATATATATAGGTTCCCCCTCACAGTTCTGAAGGAACCAGATAATGAAAATGGAGAAGTGCTATGGTAGGTTTGACAAGCATAGGAGGAAGACTGGGCAAGGGGTTGACTAGAAGACCTCCAAGGTCCTTTCCAACTCTCTTATTCCATGCTATTCTAACCTCTGGAGATGAGAAAAGATACTCATCCCACTTTCTTAGCCTTCTGAGTTCTGACTCAATGGTTAAACACATCTCTGTTCCCAAACTTTTAATCGTTAATGTTATGAATGCTGGATTGAATGTTGTTATGTATCCATTGACTTTTGTTTTTATTATTGTAATCTACCTCAGGAATAAAGAGGAATCCAGGGGATGCATTGAATAATCAAAGTAAAAGAAAAATAACGTACCTGTTTGGTCAATTCAGTTAATGAGATAATTGTGGCTACTTCATTGAACAATTAGATATAATTTGAGTGGTCTCTGTCCTACAATCAAAACGAACTTCAACTTTTTTCTCACCTCTCTGTCAAGTTCTCCCTATAATTAAATAGGCAGGTCATGCCTGGCTCACAGACGTTTACAAACACTTCCATTTAACAACAACAATAAAACCCCACACAGGCCTATCATACAGAAAAAAGTTAGAGAAGTGGAACTTGTAGGAATCTGTGGGTGTTATGCCAGAAGGAAACCAAACCCTACATTCCCCAATAAAGGTAGTCCATAATTGACCCCAAAGTTTCTGTTACTAAGCAAGACAATTGTTAAGTGAGTTTTGTCCCATTTTACGACCTTACTTGCCACAGTCGCTAAGTGGACCGCTGCAGTTCTTAAGCTAGTAACCTGAGAGTTAACTGAATCTGGATTCCCCATTGACTCTGATTGTCAGTAGGTCACAAAAGGTGAACACGTGACCTCTGGACACTGCAACCATCATAAATACATGCTAGCTGTCAGGCATCTGAATTTTGATCATGTGACCATGAAGATGCTGCAATGGTTGTGTGACAAACGGTGATAAGTCACTTTTTTCAGTGTCATTGTAACTTCAAACAGTCACTAAACAAATTGTCGTAAGTTGAGGACGATTTATACAAGTTATCTTCAACTTACAATCGACTGGTCACTTAGCAACTGTTTGAAGTTACAACAGACCTGCCCAATGGTATAGGTAGTCCTCAACTTACAACCACAATTGAGCCTAACATTTCTGTTGCTGAGTGAGACATTTTTTAAGTGAGTTTTGCCCCATTTTATGCCCTTGCCACAGTTGTTAAGTGAATCACTGCAGTTGATAAATTAGTAACCTGGCCATTAAGTGAATTCCATTGACTTTCATTGCCAAAAGGTCGCAAAAGGTGATCAGGCGATGACCTATGAACCAGCTGCCAATCGTCTGAATTTTGATCGCGTGATCATGGAGATGCTGCAAAGGTTGTAAGTGTGAAAAGCGGTCATAAGTCACTATTTTCAGTGCCGTTGTATCTTTGAACGGTCACTAAATGAACTGTTGTAAGTCGAGGACTACCTGTACTTAGCCCAGTTCTGAAATCCCAGCAGCTGTCCCCAGTTCTTCAGTCACATGACTGCATTTCAGATGGTCAGTAACCAGGACACATTTGCAGCCGTTTGCAGCATTACAACATTTTTGTTCCAAACCTGCATTTACTTCCAGTTTTCAGCAAACCTGGCCCGCGGCGAACGGTTGATTGACCTAACGACCACTGCAGAACAGGTTATAAATTTGGGTAGGTCATCTGGGTGACTCACCTTATACCCATCACAACTTACAACTATAATGGGCATGCTCCATTGAGCTCGTAAGTCAGGGACTACCTGAGAGTATCATCATCAAGTGTCTAGCATGGCAGAGGTAGGGTCATCCTTTGGGGCTGGGTTTTCCTCTGTAGGCCCTGCACCACAGATCATCATCCTTGAAGGAAGCAGGACTTCAGCCTATCCCACAATGGCAAAGGAGACCATTGAGCCCTCTGACCCACCACTGATGTTGGCTCATACGGACAGTGTTCCCAAGCACGGAAACATTGTGTTTCATACGGGCAAAGTCAGAGAAACATTGTGGCAGGATTGGAAATGAGCTGTTCATGGTAGAAAACCCTCCGAGTTTACTGAGCTGAAGCAAAGTTTCAGGCAAAGGGATGAGAAAAATTGATCGTTGATTACAGGAAATATTAATAGCTGAAAGGTTGGGCAACAGATGACTAAATCTAGATTAGATCTACACACAGGCATATTGCAGGATTTAAAGTTTTGTTTAGGAAATAACTGAAGGAAGCACTATCCTTTACTGTTACTTATTTGCTTAGACTTCCTTGTGTTTTCTCGTACATCAGGAATCTTTGATAACATTCAGTGCCAAAGATACGGTAGATATTTTTTTTTTCATGGAATTATATGGAGCTCCAAATATTTAAACTTGAGTAAGCTGTACAATGAAATCATTCTTGTTTGTCAATACCTTGGAAAGTGAAACATTCTTTTAAACTTGACCTTTGGATTTTCCCTCAAAGAGAAATAACAACAATAATAAAATAACCTCCACCCCAGACTATGCTATTGAGCAAAGTTTCCTCCTTTTTTTTTTTAATAAGGTTTCAAGTGAAGATGAAGATTTCAAGTTAACCGATTGTGATATGATCCCTGTGGCCCAGTCTCTTCAGAGGTAAGAGGCGCTGACATTCAGAGGCTGAGATTTCCAGTCCAGCTACGCTGAAGTGTGCCTGGGTTTTAGTTGATGCTTTGAAGCACCCTTTCCACAACCTAGGAGGTTTAGGATCCATGCCAGTAGCCTATCCTAAGGTGACCTCATGTGGATGATTTCATCTTTTCCCCTCTTCAACTCTTTTCACGGAGAAGGGAAATCATTGAAATGTTGCCCGTCGAAGCTGGCATTTTCACTGAGAACGCACTAGCTCAGCACTGGAATGAGATGACTTACAGCATTGACGTGGATAGGTGGATGTGGACAGATGGACGCAGCTGGGCCAGTGTGACTGGGTGGGTATGGGTGGCTCGGTGCAGCCCAATGGATGGGGCCAATTGGGTGTAGCCGAGTGGATGCGGATGGGGGCAGCTGAGTCGGTGCGGAAAAAGTCGCCCTGGTTAACTGGATGTGGGGACAGCTTAGCATCCCACCGAGATCCCACCTCATCTCTCTGAACTGCTGGCAGCCAAGCATGCGCATACCCATCCACGCCCACCTGGCTGTTGTGAATCATCCTAGACCAGGGGTGTCGAACTCAAGGCCATAATGTGGTTGAATCCTGCATTGCCATCCTGGAAAATGTAAGGCGCCGGCCCGCGTCACTTCAGTCTGGTCTATCCAGTGAGAAGAGGAAATATGCCAGCCACACCTGCCCAGTCAGCCAGGGTCAGTGAGTGGCATCACACTGGCCACACCCATCCAGCCATGCCCCCACTCCCAGCTCTCTGAGGTCAACCACAGCCCTGATGCGTCCCACAGTGAAATTGAGTTTGACACCCCTATCCTAGACCCAGCTCAGTGACCCACAAGGCAATATCTGTGACTACCATATAGGGCCCTTCATCAGGATAGTGGCATCAAGTTCTCAAGCCTCAAGATAATTTTTTTAAATTAAAAATGATAGAGAAAGTTCAATAAAAATGAGAGAGATGTCACCAGTCTCATGACAATATGGTGTTCTTACAAGCACCCTGTGGAAAGAGGCTTGATGTTAGAGTTTGTCTTACAGTTACAGGTAATCCTTGATTAACAAATGGGACCAGAATTTCTGCTGCTAAACAGAAACTTGTCAAGTCTGAGCTACACCTGATTAGACAACATTTTTACCATAATTGTTAAGAGAATCCCTTCATATTATGAAGTACAAAAATATGAAAGCAAAGAATAGGACCCAGTGGGGAGGAAAAGGGGAAAGAAAAGTAAGGAGGGGATGGAGAAAAGAAAAGAGTATTGACTTCAGATTCTAGGTTTTAGTAGAATAAAGCATTTACATCGAACCTCGACTTTTGTACTTTTCCAAAACGATGCAAACTAGCCATTTCTATAGCAACAAATCAATCTAATTGGTAAAACCCAAAACCAAAGTTTCATTTTTTTCCCCAGTTCAAGCACAAAGCCCAGAAGTTGTCTCCATGTAGCAACAAAAGTACTTATAGTCTTTTCTTTAATCAAAACAGTTTAGTCATCTCTGTCAGCTCCATCAACTTCTGTAGCCATTCGTCCATGGTGGGAATCGAAATGTCCTTCCATTTTCGTGCATACAGTAGTCTTGCTATATCTTGAGAATCCCCGAAGTTGTTAAAATGAATCACGTGGTCGTTAAGCAAATCTGGCTTTCCCTAATGACTTTGGTTGTCGGAAGCTGGCTGTCAAGGTTACAAATGATAAATCATTGTAAATACTGCCAGAATGCTACAACTGTTGTAAATAATGCCAATTGCTGAGCTCCCCAATTTTGAACATGTGACTGTGAGAATCCTACAACGGTCTTAACTGCAAGGACCAATTGTAAATCGCTTTTTCGGTGCCACTGTAACTTCAGCGCCATTAAACAGTCACTAGATGAATGTTTGTAAGTTGAGGACCACTTGAAGTTTGTAACAGGTCCTATTAAAATGGTGTTTTTTAAAAAAAAAAATCACTGGGCTTTCCTAAATTACATGACAAACAAATGTATAATTATTTATTTTGTTATTTTTAAATCTGGATTGGATGGAGAAGAAATTGTGAATTTATTCCACTTGTAAATTTTAAGTTGGATTTCTTAGCCCTCCACTGAGCCACTTAAAACTTCCCTTTAGTTATCCAACTGGCCATGATAGGAAGCATGTTACTGAACTAAAAATTGAAGCAAATTCTTTGAGGCTTCATGAAAAGTAATCTCTGGGTCACTTTTTGTTGCAACCTATGGATATGCTACTCTCCTATCATTTTGTCATCATTACCAGTTCCTTTCACTCAAAGCACATAGGGCAGCAAGAATCTTCCAGTGAATCCTATCTGCGGCAGCATACTCTAAAAATATGCATATGGAGAAAGACTTGAAAAATGTAATTATGGGGTTTTTTATTCCATGATGTGTCTAAGAGCAATAATCCTTAAGCCTGAACAAAAATGCCCAAAGCCACATTAAATGATGCTTTTAGAGGTACATAATCTGCATTACGAGGAACATGTGGGGGCATTGACTTGGCCTGTTAGGAACTGAGTCCTTGGAATTTGGTAGTCTGGTTCACACATAATATAGTAAGTAACAATGTTTTGTTTCAGGGTGAGTGTAATATATAATATGTCCCTGATTGTGTGGACCAGGATACTATAGCTTGCTCAATAAATCATAAATTCCTAGCTTGGCAAAGACTATGAATGCTATCGTGGAAATTGTGTGAATGCTATCGTTAGTCTGTCAATTAACTTTATACGTATTTTTGTATACTTGCATTGTAAGCAGAATAGTCTTTTTCTTTCATAGAGCTTTGCATCATTTAGCTCGACTTAAAGGATTGGTGAACGATACAAGTGGTAGAGAAGAACCAACAGAATCGCTCAAGACATGAAGAAGCATTGATCATAAATATATCTACAAAATAAATATAATTTAAAACATCAATTGAATGGAGGGGCATGTATTAAGACACTCGTGAACTTCTGAACTCAGCTTTTTTCCAAATCTTGTATTTCTGTAAATAAGAATGTATCTAACTAGTCTCCAGAGGCATGTTATCTTTTATGAAACTTTGCCAGGCCCTAAGGAAATGTGCAAATTATAGAAAAGGGTTGCTCTACTTTGAGACTGTTACTTCCTTAATAGCTGTTTTCATCCTAGCTTGGTAGAAATAGTGAGCAGCACAGGCATCTGCTAAAGAAAAAAGCAAGCTTTAAGCTCTGAAAACTAATTTTATAATTTTTTACTATTCCTGATAACAGAGGCCAGAATACAAATGATTGTTATTAAATCAGATGCGGTATGGTTAAAAATAATAATTGTATAAAGGGATAAGGATAATCCAGATGATAAAATGAAGTGTTAAGGCAACATTATTGCAGAAATGAGTTCTTGTGTGTCACTGTAATAAATCTGCATAAATATAACTTATTTTTAAAAGCACAATTGTTCTGTTGGAATTTAAAATACCAATATCTCCAAAGATGGACTCTGTTTCCATTTTTTTATTCATCTCCCACTAAACCACAGATTGGAATTCAGCATAACAAATATTTTGGCTATACACAGAATGACATCACAATTCTCTGCTATCTAGTTTCTGCTATTCTGCATAATCTGCTTGCTTCGTATTTTAATTAACCAAGCTTTCTCCATACCTGAAAGGTGTTATGTGTCACCCTGGTTAAGCATGGACTTAGTGCCAGGCCTTAGATTAAACCATTCTCATCATGTGTTCAGCAATGGCTCCTCGTGAAACTGGAGAGAGATGTCAATTAGACTACTATAGAATTCAGTCCTGAGCCCAAAACTGTCCTTCAGGACTTGAATGAAGAGGTGGAAGGAATGCTTGTCAAAACTGATAGGTAAAGAAGGGGAAGATCGAAGATGGATGATATTCATTTATTAATTCATTACTTGCATTTGTATGGAAATCCCCTAGAATCATCAAGGACCTGGGTAGCTTCTCTATGTAAAATAAAAACCATATTGCAAAACCTACAACAATAACATCAAAAGGTATAAAGCCTCTAATCATTAATGGTTTAAAACTAACTAAAGTCACCCATCCCCAATATAGGACACCAGTTACTCCAGAGCTTTTATGAAAAGCAACCAAATTTATGGCCACTGTAAATACTAGCTTGGAGGAAATCCTCATAACCTCAAGAGCAAAGGTGGCCCAGAGCAAAGAACTGTCCAAGAAGATCTGCCTCTGAGACTATGGAGTCAGACTTTATGGAGTGACAACCACAGCCACCTCTCTCAACCAGCATATATTAAATGGGCAGATTCTACTTGGAGTAGATGGTTTTGAAGACTACAAAGATTGGGAGTATAATGAGTTTTTAGAAGCGATGATAGCCACCTGGTCTCAGAAACCAACCAGCATCTGATATCACTCCAGTATATGTCAATTGTGTACCAGCTAACACCTATCAGCAAGCAAGCTGCAACATTCTGCATCAGCTAGATCTGAGATCTCTTGTTCCCCTGGTAGATCAAATGAAATGGACCACTTTTGCTCTGGTAGCTGATCCAGGAAAGGGGGCAATTGGTACAACAACTGGCACTGACAAAGCTGGTCCTTGCTATGTTCTTCACTTGCTGTAGTAGCATCTGCTGTAAGACCAAGAAGACATCTAGAAGATGGAAGGAAAAATTGTGTCGAGAGATTAGAGAACTGGATTGGAAATGACAGAATGAAATTTAACTGAGACATGCAAAGTTTTTACTTGGGAAAAATATAATACCACAATACCAAATGGGGAACATGTGGCTTGTTAAGAGTAGTCTTTTGCAAATTGAACATGAGTCAGCAGTGTGGGAAGACTTCTGAAAAGAAAAGAGCTACATCAACAAAAGGATAATTTCCAAATTGTGGGAAATAATAATTCCTCTATATTCTGCGTTGGTTAGGCTCTGCCTTCAGAAAACTGAACAAGTGCATAGGCATGCAATGAAGAATGCTGGGAGTTGGGAACTTGATTTAATAACATTCAACAGCAAAATTATTTTAAAATTCAGAAAATCTAAAAGGGGCAGATACCTTAGAAGAAAACTAAGTCTTTCATGGAAAGACTGAAGGAACTGAGTATGTCTTGTTTTGAGGAAGGATAACAAGGGACTAGAACAGCCATTTCCAAATGTGAAAGAGACTACATAGAATAAAATCAAGAGCTGTACCCTCTCCAAATGGCAGATTTGAGTACAGGTGGTCCTTCCTTAACAACCACTCATTCATCGACAGTTTGAACTTATAATAGTGTTGAAAGAGTGATATTCTCAGCCGGCCTTTTAGGTCCTGCAGAGTACCCAGAGCCCGACATACTTGGTCCTCCAAGGAATGGAATAGCATAGCATAGCATAGCAGAATAGAATAGAATAGAATAGAATAGAAGAATAGAGTAGAATAGAATAGAATAGAATAGAATAGAATAGAATAGAATAGAATAGAATAGAATAGAATCAAAAGTTTTAGCTGTTGCAGTGTCCCTAGGAGTCGCATGATTGTGATCTGGGTACTTGGAGATCAGCTTGCAATGATATCGCAGCATCATGTGATCAGATTATCACCATTTGTGATCTTCATTGCCACCTTCCAACAAGAAAAGTCAATGGGGAAGCCAGCAGGAAGTCACAAACATCCATCATGGGCATCGCACTCAACTACAAGATGCTGGCTTTGACTTTAAAGCCCTACTTGGCACAATGGGCAGTATATTTGAGGGCTGCCTCTCCCAATGCATCTTACCAAATCCAACAGAGGTAACATGCCATGGCTTCCATGGGCAAAGGAGCTACATTTGGTGGGTCCCAGGCAGTGGTCCTTCTCTGTTTTGACGCCCAATCCTTCCCCTGAAGTGAGAGTTGTTTCATCACTTTGACTTTTTGATTGTGCCATCAGCCCTGGGAACTAAGTGGGCTACAATAATGGAAATGACTCTTTGCCTAATATTCCTTCTTTTTTTTAGTTTTTATAGTTTTCTTTAAATAAGAATTAAAATATTTTTTAGTATTTATTGACTACCTGACAGCCAAAGTCTCTTGTTATGAGATGGCCAGTTATATAAATTTGATCAAATAAGTAAATAAACAAGTTGGTTAATGTTTTGTAATTTAAAAAAAATTCCCTGGGGAAAAACAGAGAAGGTGGGAGATCTCTAAATTTGAAATATAAGTACATAAAAGTAAATAAGGGTAGAAATAGTCTAATTGTTGCCAGTCTACGTCATTTCCCCACCCTCCCATCCCACATAATCTCTTCAGATTGATGCATTTAAGGATTTAAAAGAATTGGCTGTTTAAGATGTGTTAGCTTGCAAAGAAGAAAGGATAGAAGGAATAAGTAGGTTTTTGAAAATAGGTAACTAGCTATTGTTTTTAATCAAGGATTTTCAGTTTGGCTATCACTGATAGGCCTGTCAGAACTTTACATAGTTACATAGATGTTACTCATAGACCACAGTCCCCATACTCACAGTCCCAATGTACGTGCCCAAGAATCAATCTGTACCCAGTGATGGGCTGCAACCGGTTTAATAACCGGTTAGGTGAGTGTGCGCTTTGTTCAAAAAACGCCCATTTTAAGCTTAAAAAGTTACCTTCTAGGTCAGCGCTGGTGAGTAAAACAGCTGAGGTGTGGCAATCTGCTGTGCTGCGTGAATCAGCTGGGCTAAAAAACGGATATATAGGACAGGAAATGGCAGGGGCAGGGGGACAGGGCCAACTGCTCACTGGAACAACCGGTTCAGTAGAACCAGTCTGAACCAGAAAAAGCATTCCCACCTCTGTCTGTACCACAACCTCTTGCCTTTTATACACCAAACAATCAAAATCATTTACACCCAGTCATACTCAGTCACGCCATACCCAACCAGAAACCCATCTATCCCCCACAGACAGCTATGCACCCCAGGGAGAAGCTTCTTCACACTTTGAAGACACTATGGCTAGTTTCCATCCTGCCTTGAGCAGAATGCTTTCTTTGCCGGACAGACAGGCAAGAAGCAATGGATGGAAACTAATCAAGGAGAGTACCAACCACCTGGAACTAAAACAAAATTTCCTGACAGAACAATTGATCAGTGGAACAGCTTGCCCCGAGAAGTTGAAGGTGCTCCAACACTGGAAGTTATTAAAAAGATGTTGGATAACCATTTGTCTGAAGTGGTGTAGGGGTTCCTGCCCAAGCAGTGGATTGGGCTATAAGACCTCCAAGGTCCCCTTCAATTCTGTTACTCTGCCAATTAAACCAGTCATATGGCAGGATGTAGTAGGTCTTGGCTCCTTGTTCATGTCCAGTTGAACAAGGGTGTGTGCTCCACACTGATTAATCTCACTGAAAAACTGCTGCACCATCCAACAAATGATGGCCCCCGCAGAAACTTACCAATCTTCAGCTAGGCACCCGTGAGCTGTTACAACTCCAACTCCTATCACCTTGAGGACTCTCCCCTGAAGTTGATCTAACTCGGGGGTTCCCAAATTTGGCAACTTTAAAACTCGTGGACTTCAGCTCCCAGAATTCCTCAGCCAGCATAGCTATGCTGGCTAAGGAACTCTGGGAGTTGAAGTCCACAAGTCTTAAAGTTGCCAAGGTTGGGAGCCTCTGATCTAACTCAAGTCACATGCAAGCTACAAGACGCAGGGAAGTAAGAGAAACACAAAAGCTACAAGCCAATCTCCACTTACTTGATGTTCCATCTTTGTATCTCTTGCCAGAATTCCCACCCACCTGATGAGACGAGACTCTGGCCTGAAGGTCAGTGCGTGCAGTCCTGTTTGTCAGGGCAGCAGAAGATGCTAGTTCTGACCCAGGCTTCATCAAATGTAATAAAAAACAAACTTGTTTTAAAAGGAAAACCTATTTTATTGCAACACTGGGAATTGCTTTCATTCCCATCCAGAACTAATCTTAAACAGTTCCTCAAGATAGGCACACACCTTTCAGTACTGTGGAATGCTGCCAAAAACAGAAGTATCCAATTAATTATAACAGAAACCAACCGAAGTACCAGAAAAAACCAACCAGAGTACACAGAGTTTCAAGGAGGACTCGGAATCTATCGAACTATTTTGCTTCCTGCAAAGGTTTCATCATTGAGGTCTAACTTTTATCCCTTACGGGAGGAGCAATCATCTCCCAGCCTTACTCCCAAGTCGTCCCTCTTGTTTCAGCTGCTCTCATCTTCTAGCAGCTCTGCGCACACGCACACTGGGAACAGGCTCCCCTGGGTCCTCTGCCTCACTGCTGCCAGACTCCAAAGGCTCCGGAGACAGCACCCCACTCCCAGAGGGTCCTGGCCCCAGCTCTGCATCGGACGCACGACCCTCATCTGAGTCCTCTCCAGACTCCCGGACTGATCTCCTTTCTTCCCCATTGTCTGATTCCACTGCCAGCTGCACCGGTTGCTGGCGAACCACAATACTGGTTAAGAGAACCAGACAAGGCCTAGTGGCAGATCCTGGATGAGCCCCCAAAATTGTTGTCCCAGAAAGCTGTTTCTTCCCAGTGTGCAACTCCCAATAAACCACACACCAAGAGGGTGATACGCAAAGGCTTTATTCTGCCCAGAACAAAGGACAGAGGAGAATCATTCCCACTGGTCTGTGGAAAGGCCACTTCTTCAGCAGTACTATTTTAATAGGTTCTTTTCCAAAGAGCTCACCTAAAGCCAACCCCTCGTAAGGCATCCTAGAACCAGTTTTCTGGAACCACAGAACTCATAGCCAAATTTAGAAATAGATTAGTCATTATGAAAGCCTTCCTGCTATAAATTGTTCTGCTGAAACAGGGGATGTCCTCATTTGCATTCATGTTCACACTGACATTTTCATTACCAAGCAGTTATCATAAAATAAAAACCTGTTGCCTTCTTCATCTATAGAAGTATTGGTGATAGGACCAAGATATTTTTTTTCCTCCTTCCTTTGGATTCAGGCAAAATTGTACTTTGCTAATACAAAATGGATAATTTGGGATTTGAGCTGAACGAAGAAGCACCTCCAAGCAATTTCTCCAAGCCAGAAAAGATTAAACAAGAATGTCATGTAAGTTGCAATAGTTTACAATGTTTGTAAAATATTTAGAAAGCTACATTAGTTATTAATAGAAAAAAATATGCATTATAACATGAGTGGGGAAGTATAAAATCTAGAGGATGCACAACTAGACAATATATTTTCTCCCTCATTTCTAGTTAATCCAGAGAAACTGCTCGCTGGACCGAACTCTAAAAAGTAGCATTTCTCATCCTATTGAAAAGGGCAATTCAGCAGTTAGGTCTTCTGAGAGGTCTTCTGAAGTTGCTTTCAGATTTGTAGAAGTACATGATGAAAAGTAATTTCCATAATGCGAACATAACGTTTGTCCTGCACAGGGTATAATAAGCAATAGTGCTATGCATTGCAAACGGACAGATTCATGACAAGAGTTAGCTGAATTTGTCTTAGATTGTTAGATCCATTTAAATAAAATTCATACACTATAATTCTGGTTAATAAAAACACTAGGTATGATTAAGGAAAGTATGTTTGATGAAAACAACCATCATGATTTCATACCATTCATATGACAAGCTAAACCCACAAGATTGTGGCAGGGAAACCTATCTTACATGCCCCACACATACAAGTTGGCTCTTCCCACTGAGTAGCAGGAGCATTTAGAACAGGGGTGTCAAACTTGTGGTGTCACATCATCAAGTGATGTATTGTGACTTCCCTTCACTAAACTGGGGTGGGCGTGGCCAGCACATGACGCATCCAGCCCGCGAGTTTGACACCTCTGATTTAGAGTATGCAAGAAAGACATTAAATAAATATATTTGTTTATATATATTTATGTCATTTTTCAACTTTTATCTTAGTATGCCATTCTGGCATTTTTAATAAATTATGAAGCTGGCTTGTTTCTCAGTAACTATCATTAAAATAGGTCATCAATCTCAGGCCAGGCAGATATAATAAAACTTGTCTGGCTAAGGGGGTGTCTAGACAACTTTGGATATTACAAAGTTAATATTGATTAATTTATTATTAACTTTTCTTCCATGGTGGAAAAAAAGAAAAAAGGCAGAGAGAATTAATATTTGTTTTAGGTATTAACTCAAAACATCCTGTACTTTACTTAGAAAATTGAGCCAGCTGGGTTAGGACAAGATAATTCAATAATCGAGCTGAACGTCAAAGCTAAAAGGCAAGAGGAAAAGAAGAGCTTTCCTTTCTTGAGTAAAGCAATGGATTTGCTTCCCAAGCCCATCAATCAATGTTATCTTTGATCATTGCAGCAACAAAGCTGCCTGTTACTTCACTGTCTTCCAGAGCTGCCAATTTGATAGAACATAGATTCATAAGGCTGTAATTGGGGGCTCTTAGTCCAACTCCCGACTCAAGGCAGGAGATTTTACATCACCCCAATCAAATGGTTGTCCACTCTATTTTTGAAAACCTCCAGTGATGGAGCATCCACAGCTATTCCATTGCTAAATTGTTCTCACTGTCAGGAAATTTCTCCATATTTCTAGTTTGCATCTCTCTTTAACAAGCTTCCACCCATTACTCTTTGTTCTGCCTTCAGGTGCCATGTAGACTAGATTGAACCCTTCTTTTCTGTGATGGCCCCTCCAATAACTGGAAGACACTTATCATGTCTCCCCTTTAACCCTTCTCTTCACTAGACTAGACACACCTAGTTCCCTCAATCATTCATCCTATAGTTTAGCTCCCAGAACCCCTTACTATTTTGTCGCTCTTCGCTGCATGTATATCTTTTCCATCCAGCAAGTCCACAGAGTTTGTTCCAGAAAGTCAAGACAGCAGTCATGATGGTGTTGTCAAAGCTATGTCCATTTTCACACATGTAATTTTTTTTACTAAAGATTCTTGTTTTACAAATTTAGAAGCTATAGAAAAATAAAAAGAATGTAGAAAAGAGGGGAGGGGGAGGCTATATTGAGAGAAACAGGAATGACAGAAGAAAAAGTGAACAACAGCGTAGGTCCTGAAAAGAGAGGAGGAAAAAAAGAAGTATTTAAAGAAGTGACTTCTAATCTTCTTTTGCAGCAGTAATGAACATAATTAATACAGTTTCTTCTCTTCCGAATTGCCAATGTTTCCTACTTCCCAGAGAAGTTTGAATGAGTAAATCCAGAGTTCATCATTTTCAGGGAAAAGAACCATAAAGGCTTTCCAGTCTTTTGCAAAAGTAGTTATTGCTTCTTCCCTAATCAAACAAGCCAATTTAGGCGTCTTGACAAATTCTGTCATCTTCACGATCCGTTCCACATATAAGTATGTGAAACTAATTAAGGTCCTGTCAGGTCTGTCTACAGTTCTGGCTATCCAGATGCTGCCTTCAGGGACAGTGAAGTATTCTACACCTTTCCTTTTCTCCTAAGCTGAATTCTTCAGAAAATTCTTACTTCCTGCAAGAAAAGCAGAGAACAAAACCTGCCACTTTTACAGGAAGTAAAAGTCTCCTGTGCGCCTTTGAGTCTGTGTTGATTCCTGGCAACTGCCTAAACAAGTCCCTGCAGTTTTCTTGGCAAGATTTTTCGGAAGTGGTTTTTTTAATTGCCTCCTTCCAAGGACTGAGATAGGGTGATTAGCCCAAGGTCACCCAGCTGGTTTTGTGTCTAAGGCTGGGCAAGAACTTACAATCTTGCAGTTTTTCAGCCTGGTGCCTTAACTACTCCAAATGGATCTTAATTTTAGATGTTGATGCTTCAAACATCACTTCCCTTCCCTTTCAAACATCTGAATTCACTGTTAAATAAGTGATGGTGGATAATTTGATTCGGTTGGGTATATTTTATCAAAAATATACCCAAATGAATGTTAATTAGTTTAGTTAGTTTACTTTATTGATTAGCCCTTGGGCCATATCAAAGTGCAGAGTTCCGGACACAACATTACCAAAAGCTGATAGAAACAATTTAAAATGGAATTGAATAAAATACAATTTAAAATAAAATTGAGATAAAAATTGAGATAAAATATGATTTAAACTGAAATTGGAATAAAATACAATAATTTAATATATAAATAAAATATGATAAAATTATATTTCAATATCACCCCTACAATCTACCCCAATCAGTCCCACATATGCCGATCTCAACCAAACCATTTTGCTCAAGTACTGTGCTGTATTAGATGTTATTTTCAGATTCTGGCCGCACATAAGGTAAGCTGTTTTGATATGGGGATCCCAATGGGTCATTCATTTAGTATATAAACCAAGGTATCTGTCTCTCATCCTCTTATACAGGAAACAATCAAATAGGATGCAAGCCAGGTTTTTTACCTCCACTGCAGAGACGTCGGTTACAGGGCATAAAATAGAATCTGTCATATTGTGTCAAGCTGTTCGAATCTCGCTCGTGTAGCTATCTCCCTAAGATGTTTTGGCAGTTGTAACTTTAAATAGGTGTACATTTTGAAAAATACATTTGGATTTGCTCAGCCATTTCAAATTACTCACCTTACTAAGGATAGCTATATCATTTTGTGCTTCTATATCCTTAATTCTTTGGGCAACTATTTTTTTAAATCATTCCCCTGTTATGCAAGAGACAGTAAGGCGTCAGCTTCTTACAAAATTTGTCAGTTTGGTGATCCAGGAGATTTGTGATTGTGATTTTACCTGCTCTAGTAAACATAACTCAGGGAATCTTATCAGTCTCCATTTCATTGATTTTGTGCCAGTACTATATGCTCTAATTCTGGATAGTGCATGAATTGTATAAATTCAAAAAAAAAAAAAAGCTGAATGATAACATGCCCTAGAAAATATGGATGTTGGTACAGCTATGCAGACAGAGCGGGAATATAACAATATTGTTGTGACCCAGTTTTACACAGTTGCCTTTGTAATTCTTCCTTTTTTCTTCCTTTCTGCCCTAAAGATGAAAAAGAGCCACTGGTCTCTTCTCCATGTCTTTCTGGTTTGTCTGTTGGCCTCTGCAGTAACCACAGTGGTGGGGGTGTTGATTCTGTCTCTGGTTTATGCTAGCAACCCTGGCTTTAAAAGACAACAGCCTGAAGTGAATCTAGAAAACCATGGATCAGCTTCCCAGAAAATTCCTATAACATCTGCCTACAAGAGTCAGGTGGACCTCAGGTTCCAGTTTCTCCACCATCATACTAAATCCAAGGTATAACTGAACTATTTCTTCCATACTTGTTTTGCACAGGCCAAATATTTGGGAATCTTAGTTTTTAAGGGTTTTTATCCCTGGCTACACTTCTATTTGGTGGAATTCAAAGAAAAGGTAGATTCTTTAAACAAGGGCCTAGAAAAACTGAACAGCAAAAAACACATGGGTTAAAGCCAGGGCTATCACTGATCTGTAAGGCTCCTTTGTGCAATAAGTTTTTTTAAAAAAAATTCAACGGAACTGAATGAATGAACTAAAGAAGCTTCTTGAATGAGAAGCAGGGGTGAATTGCTACCAGTTTTGCCACTGGTTGAAGGACCAATCCTGAATCTGTGCTTTATTGATGGACTCTCTAGCACTATGTCTCTCGATGACCCCAATTTGGGGATGTGTGGATTTCAGCTCCTAAAATTCCATAACCAGCATGTTGGCTGGGGCATTTTGGGAACTGAAGTCCACACATCTTCCATTTGCAAGGCTGAGAGACACCACTCTAGTGTTTCAACATGTGCTTTCAAACTTTTTGGCACCAGTGATCAGTTTTGTGGAAGACAATTTTTCCACGGACCACCGGGGGCGGAAGAACATGCAACCTAGATACCATGTATGCTCGCCCACTGCTCACTTCCAACCCACCACAGACCAAAACTGATCTGCAGCCCAGGAATTGAGGACTCCTGCTCCAGTGTAATGTTCACTGACTGTTTCACAAATTTCAAACCTTAGTGAACTTTATCTGGAAGTGGATGCAAACCTCTTCCTTTCCGTTGCTTTTTTCTGAGTATAGACGCAGAACAAGCTCTGTCTAAACAAGGGGTCTCCAGCCTTAGCAACTTTAAACCTGGTAGATTTCAACTCCCAGAATTCCCCAGCCAGCTTTGCAGTTGAAGTCCACCAGGCTTAAAGTTGCTAAGGTTGGAAACCCCTGGTCTAAACCAGCGGTCGCCCACCAGTGGGCTGCGGCCCACTGGTGGGCTGTGAGAAACTTTTAGCGGACCACAGAGAAATCTAACCCCCGGAGCACTCCCACAAAGCAATTAATCCAGGCTGCACAGAAACACAAGGCTGTGTGGTCCACATGACCCATGGGAACCCTCCCCACCCACTCTCTCCTTACCTGGTAAACTTACCTGCTAAATTGCTATTTTTCCTTTTTCCAACCATCATCTGTTCTGCTGTGCCAGGAGATTTTGATTAGCTAGGAAGCAGGAAATGGTTGGATTTCTTGCTTTCTAGCTAGTCTTTAGATCTTCAGCTCAGCACAGCCGAACCTCCCTTAGGACTGAAGGTTTGCTTGAGGGCAAATTCAGTGCAGACTCACAGCAAGCAAATTTGAGAGACTGAGTTAGCCAATGGCAGATAGATCACTGAATGATTCTGTGAGCAACTCAATCTGCCTGCTTTGCCTGATTTTGGGTAAAAATTGCTCTTTTTTATAAAAAATTCAATATTTGCATTCATGGTGCATTGTGAGTTAATTTTGTGAGTTTGCTTGCTAGCAAATTTTATGAGTTTTCTTGCAAGCAAATTTTATGTGACAGACTGAGCTAGCCAATGGCAGATAGATAGATTTCTGAATGAATCTGTGATTCTGTGAGCAACTCAATCTGCCTGCCTGCTTTTCCTGATTTTGGGAAAAAGGTGCTCTTTTTTTTTTAAGAAAAAAATCAATATTTATATAAATATTAATAATATTTACATACAAGCCATGCCCAGCCAGTCACATGACCACCAAGCTACACCCACAAATTAGGCCACACCGACAGAACCAGTTAGTGGTCCCTGGGATCTAAAACTATGAGTTTGGTGGTCCCTGAGGTCCAAAAGGTTGGCGATCCCTGGTCTAAACAGTTGCTGCTCCAGGCTGCCTAAAACCACAAAGATCAAAAGAGATTCACACTGTGGATCAGATTCAATGATTAAAACGTTTGTTTCCATAGTTGAGAAATTAAACAGACATTATCTGATAAATTGGTATTAATCCACCAAGTGAATATCCTTTGATATCAAGAGGGAGCCAAGATTCATTGGATTTTTAAAAGCTATTTATTAACTGTGTTAAAGCCATTAATATTGTCATGCATCTACAACTTCCCAGGTACACCAGTTTCCAGGAGGTGTTATTCAGTGGTCAAGATTTCGCAGAAATAGCGATGAATACCAGAACAAGGAAGAAATGGCATTTGGAACAAGTATCAACGCTCAGCGTTCCAAGTTGATGTTTGGGACTCTGCTAATCAAAAGCAACGGGTTGCGTGCTCCACACTGGCATTTCAACGCCAATGAACAGGGTTACCTCTTAAAGGTAATATTGAAAGTCGAGTTTCAATTTACCTAATTATTTTAAAATAACTGGAGAGGGGGAGAAAGAATATAAAAGTAACTAGCAAGTAATAGAAGAGTGGAAGAAAAGAGCTTACTCTATTATCATAGTTGAGCTCAATTTATGATCATAGTTGAGCTAAGCAACACATTTGAGCTTTGCCCCATATTATGACTTTCTGGCCACAGCTGTTAAGTCAATCACTGTGGTTGTTAAGTTAGTAACATGGTTGTTAAGTGAATTCCCCATAGACTTTGCTTGTCAGAAGGTGATCAGTGACCTCTGGACACTGCAACTATCATAAATATGAGAGTGCCAAGTATCTGAATTTTGTTCATGTGTCCATGAAGATGCTGCAATGATCATAAGTGTGAAAAATGGTCTTGTCACTTTTTTCAGGGCTGTTGTAACTTCGAACAGTCACTAAATGAATGATTGTAAGTTGAGGACTACCTATATTGAAACACCTGTGCATATACATAGAGCACTTAATCCCTTCCACCACCACCACCACCCAACAAACAGAACAAAATCCAGTAGCAGAGATTAGCTATGTGGGTGGCATTTTCTCCAAGAACCCTGTGAAATAATTCTTGGGAGATAAATCTGAATTTTTGAGTCTTTAACCAAGATATATCTAAAAATAATTCAACAGCACTTTGGTAAATAATCTGCCAGGTTGTGGAACCAAGGATAAGTAATGGGACAACTTACAGTCAAGACAAAAACTTGAGAACCTGTAAGAGACTGTTTGTGATGGAATGTAGGAGGAGGTAAATTCTCAGGAGTAAAGGGGTATATTCCAGAGGAGTCAGAGGCAACTCAGCCTGAATATCATGTGTGTGTGCGTGTGTGTGTGTGTGTGTGTGTGTGAGAGAGAGAGAGAGAGAGCTTCTCTTTAATTGTTCACAGAGTATATTGTAGATGCAGATTGAATCCTCAGCCTGTTAAGATTTTTGTCTGTAGTTGGGAAACAATATAGAACTAAGTTTGTGTTATTTTTGGTATTGGACCTAATACTGTGTGAAGAAAGCATGCACATTCAGACTTGCAAGGTTGTTACTCAGTGGTAGAATTCAATTTTTTTTACTACTGGTTCTGTGGGCGTGGCTTGGTGGGTTTGGCAGGGGAAGGATACTGTAAAATCTCCAGTCAGAGATGGCATTTGCCGGTTCTCTGAACTACTCAAAATTTCTGCTACCGGTTCTCCAGAACTGGTCAGAACCTGCTGAATACCACCTCTGTTATTACTATAACCTTATAATAAAAGTAGTACCAATGTTCCTAAGTCTGGTTTCCTAGTCTAGTCTATCATGAAAGCTGACTTCAATCCTGCAAATCTGAATATGCCTCTCCCATCACTCCCTTTATGTCCATGAGAACTAAGGAAAGTTTAGTCTGAGATGCTTTCTTGACATTTATGCTCCAGACTTAGATTCCTTTTATATGACCATGGCCTTGGTTGTAGCCACCTGATCCCCAAGGTTGTTCCTATTGTCCTATACGCATGATGACCTTTTTACGGCCATATAAATACATGTTTATGCAGATCATAAATTTAGCGCACATACTGTTCAAGCCAAATCAATTTCAGACTCTCATTTGCTTGTGTTGTTCTCTTCCCACATGATTTCCTGGTCAATTGTAATATATTGTTTTGCTGCCGTTGTGTTTTCACAGGGAACTGCATGGATTGGGGTAGTTGATGCTGGTGGAAATACAATAGCTACATACAACGTCACGGCAGGACAGATGATTTTCTTCCCTCGAAATACCTTGCATTGGGTCAAGAATATTGGTGCAGAAGAGTGTTTGTTCTTGCTGTTTTTTACAACCCACGAGGAGCTTCAGACTCTGGACCTTGATGATACATTTTTCTTGACACCCAAAGACATTGAGGCAAGATCTCTAAAGGTCTGTACAATGGGAATTCCGAATCCTATTTCTTAACAGATCCACAACTACTTTGACTGCCATTCTGAATAGGTGCTGAATAGCCTGCTCCTGGATACCTATCCATTGCCAAATTCAAATATCTCTCTGGGTAAGATATAAAATAAGCAAGCAGACTTTGGCTGAAGCTAACTTGGAGCATTTTTCTCCAGGCCTTCCCTTCAAAAGGAGAAATAATCAAAATCTTGTAGCTTAATATTTGTAAAAGAAGGAATGGCGGAACCTGAAGTCAGAACCTGAGATCTGAACCTGAGGTCAAAAGAGGAATCAGCTAGAGTCTCTAAGTAGCCACAAACAGTCTTAAGTTCAACTTCTGTTGAATTCTGTTGACCCTTATCTAGTGTCAAAATAATGCTAACCATTAGTTGAGTAGATTCCTGTGCACAGGCATGAGTAAATAAATCATTTTAACTGTTTGTGGCTACTTAGAGACTCTAGCTGATTCCTCTTTTGACCTCAGGTTCAGATCTCAGGTTCTGGTCTTTGGCACCTAACAATTTTCGCCATTTGTACTCCATTACCACTCACCTCTTTGTAAGCATAAATTAACTTTATTGGATGAAGTCATTGCCATTCCTGGATCCACTAAATATGATATTTACTTGTGTTTTCTAGCCTCAAGGTGGTATGGCTTTCATCCGGTCATTCCAAAAGCAAGCAGAAGACCAAGCCATCAATCTTCCACCCAACCTAGCAGAACTTGTTCAGAATGCCAACTACAACCAGTCTGCAGATATGCTTGTATGGCGGTATTTCTTTGACCTAAAAGGTACTACAGAGCCAGCAAGGGAGACATTACAGAAGAGAACCCCTTTTGCCTTATAGGACTTTTGGGCTTTTAATGCATCAAAGAGTGGTGACATCATCACATTTTCATGCATTGTATTTCCAATCAGATACAGAAATGTTTATCCTGGAAATAATATAGGAGTGTAATGTAATGTAATCCAGAAGGTTCTTTCCCAGGGAGAAAAGAGACAATAAACTTTGAATCTTTGGGATGCATGACAAGGGTGAAGAACCACCCTCCCCCCCTGAGAAGTTCTTGGGATATATCATACAAATAGTCATGCAAATAACTGTTTTGTCCGGCAAGATTTCTGTCTATAGGGAGCAATAATAAAGAAACTATTCTGAAGTAACTGCTCCGGTCATTCTTGGGCCTGAAAAGGAGTCTCTTAATTATATGGATCAACAGCCTGAGATAGGGCCTTCTCCCATATAAGCTACACAACAGTTGCAATCACCATCAGAAACTCTCCTGGTTGTGTAATATCCGGCAGATAGTATTTTGGCATTGGCTAAGAAGGCCTTTTCTTGCTTGCTGCATTAAAGCATGCATTGGTATTGCTAAAGAATCAAAGAGTTGGAAGGGACCTTGGAGGTCTTCCAGTCCACCCCTCTGCTGAAGCAGGAAACCCTACACCAGTTCAGACAAATGATTATCCAACATCTTTTTAAAAACTTCCAATGTTGGAGCATTTGCAACCTCTGGAAGCAAGTTGTTCCACTGGTTAATTTTTTCTGTCAGAAAATTTCTCCTTAGTTCTAAGTTGCTTCTCTCCTTGATTAGTTTCCATCCATTGCTCCTTGTCCTACCTTCAAGTGCTTTGGAGAATAGGTTGACGCAAGATCAGGTCAATGTTTAAACTGTTTCTATTAATTTTGATGCTTGACATTCTTGCATTATTTAGGTCCTAGATGTTTGCAAAAAAAGTAATCTTTTTTGTAAATGTATATATGCTTGATACTAGTACTATAGACATGATAAATCCCAATATCATAATTCTGCTCTTTGCTCCCCCACGCCAAAATTGAAACCAAATCAAGAGGTCCTTCTTATTTTTAAGTTGAACAATGAAATCAAACACTTTTAAAATATAAATTTATAATCATATCCTTGTTAACTATAGAGTTTCTTCTATACCCTTTAAACCAGGTATGGAAAAGAACAGCAAAAATCCATACTAAAATGATAATATATTGAGAGCATCACTGTTAAATAAAGTAAAATAAAAATACCATCAGTTCAGCATCAATTACACCATTCTTTCTCAACATGATATTATTTTGAGAAAATATTTCTCCATTCCTAGCAAGCTGCCTCTCCCCATTGTTATTCACCAATGGACTTCAATACATTTAACACTCCGTTGGTAGCACCCCTTTGCAGTATTGAGCAGACGATAAATCATCTTGCAGAGTATCTATCTTCATTGCTGTTAATCATCAATGCCTAATTGGTGGCACGTAATCAATCAATCAATTAAAACTAAGATTTCCTGCAGGCAGAAAAGGTTTTGAAATGACTGTAGCAGGCATATATCAAAAATTCAACGTGGCTTCTACAAAATGTGAAAAACATTAGCTCTCCATTAAGCAAAAACAATACTACATAAAATTATGGAGCTAATATAAAGCCCTTGATCATCACTCAGGAGATTACCAATTTTTCCACTATGTTTATTTTCAATTCAGGATCTTCCAAATTCCAGTTCCCAGGAGGAGTCATCCAGTGGGCTCGGTACATAAAGGACGGAAAAGGCTTAAAACCCAACGAAAAAATTTACAGTGAATTTCTCCATTCGGTAAGTATGCTGTAAAAATTGCTATCTTACTCTGAAGGCTAGTTATGGCAGTCATTATCTTATTCGAATTTTATTTGGGGAGGGTGGTATCATTAAAAACTCCTATAAAATGTGAGTTTATATATGTATCCATTTGCAATATGGGAAATTATTCCACTGTTCTGCAGTTTATGGACTAAATAAGTAATTCACTCCAGACTTTCTGGATAACAGCAAGGTATGCATAGTATACCTCTGTGGTAAATACAATTATCCACAATCCATTAAAATTTAAAGGCAAATAATGATAAGAAGGATGCCGTCCTTCTTCAGCAATTTCCCCATTGCTACTATTGTGTATGTGCAAAATTTGTTTCTTCTTTTCAGAAGGAAGATGCTCTTACTTTAGCAACACTCCGCATCTCCAACAATGCTTTACGTCAGCCTCATTTCCATTTCAATGCCAATGAAATGGGCTATGTCATCAGTGGCTGCGGAAAGGTAATAACCCAAGTTTAACCACTGTGATGCAAGCCAACATTTCGCAAAGTTAAGAATTCTGGGAATGATATTGTAATTGAAGAGTCCTGGATAAGCTTTACAAGTAGCCCTTGACTTATAACCATTCGTTTCGTGACTACTCAAAGTTACAGCAGCACTGAAAAAAGTGACTTATGGCATTTTTCACATTTACAACAGTGGTGGGATTCAAAAATTTTTACTACCGGTTCTGTGGGCGTGGTGTGGATTGTGGGCGTGGCTTGGTGGGCATGGCAGGGTAAGGATACTGCAAAATTCTCATTCCCTCCCCACCCCACTAACCTGCTTTCCAGCTCCGTTCTCCTGTGCAGGGCAATAAAAGAAAACCCAGCCGATCAGCTGGGACTCAGGAGGCAGAGAAAAGATGGTGCGGGGGGCAGTCAGAGGTGGTATTTGCTGGTTCTCCGGACTATTCAATATTTCCGCTACTGGTTCTCCAGAACTGGTCAGAACCTGCTGAATACCACCTCTGATTTATGACCATTTCAGCATCGGCATGGTCACACAATCCAAATTGGAAGCTTGGCAACCCGTTCCTATTTATGTTGGTTGCAAACTTCTGACAAGCCAAAGCAGATTCCCCTAACAACTGTGTTACTACATTAAGAACTGCAGTGATTCACTTAACAACTGTGGCAAAAAAGGTCATAAAATGGGGAAAAAAACTAACTGAACAACTGTCTTGCTTAGCAACAGAAATGTTGAGTTCAGTTGTGGCTGTAAGTCAAGGACTCTGCTTTTCAGCTTCTGGTGAGGTAGAGTTGAGGAGGTAATAAAACAATCCATTGGCCCATGACAGATGGTACCATATCCATCAACTTATTTCAAAGAGTGTGATTGTCCTTCCCCAATCATCTGGCAGCTTTTCCGGATGAATTCACACAGCTTACTATTAATCAGGCAATTTGTTCATAAGAGGAAGCCACCAATGGTTCACTGTGAATCCATCCGCAGGTATAAGCAACGCAACGTGTTAATTTTGTAATGAGGATTGTCCTTGACTCACAATTACACGTGAATTTCCATCGGTAAGCAAGGTGGTTGTTAAGTGACTTATGCCTGATTTTATGAACTTTTTGCCATGGTTGTTAAGCAAATTAGTCCGGTTGTTAAGTGAATCACATTGTAGTTAAGCAAATCTGGTTCCCTGATTTGCTTAAGGTTGTAAATGATGAAGGTTGTAATGGCGAACCCATGACACTAGGATGCTTCAAACATTGTAAGTATAGGACAGTTGCCAAGCATTGGTATATTTCAGTCACATGTCCTTGAACATGCTGCGATGGTCATAAGGACTAGTTGTAAGTCACTTTTTTCAGTGCCATTGCAACTTTGAACGGTCACTAAATAAATGATTGTAAGTTAAGGACTTCCTGGAGAATAAATCAAAATCAAGTTTCTGGAAATACAAGTATTAATTTGTTCTGGTGCATCTTATTTGCAGGTAGGTGTTATTGTTTCATCTACTCTGTCTACTGACTTTACCATTGAAGTTGGAGATGTTGTGTTCTTCCCAGTTGGAACCCAACACTACATCAAGAACACATGTGATGAGGACCTACTTCTCATTTTGGCCTTTAGTACCAACAACCAGGTGAGATATCTGTTTGAATTCCTAGAAATTCTTCTATACATGCCACCAGAACCCTACAATTTCACTAGACCTCTCGGTTATTATGAATCAAATGCAAGTATTAAATGTTTGGGAGATCAAAATAAAACAAGTAACTGTACATTATGGCACGTTGCATATATTACTAAAATTGCTCTGTGCCCTTATCCACAATGCTGAACCTACCCTGGCTTCCTATGGTAGGTTTTGAGTTTTGCTTTTGTTCCATAAGATCTTCAATAACTACTAACCAGAGAGTCTGAGAAAACAGCTTCTCCCGTACAGAGCTGTGATCAGCATTGATTGAATAATGTTTGATTGAACCACTCTCTGTGTTTCTTATTAAGAGCCCTGATGGCGCAGTGGTTAGAATATAGTATTTCAGGCAAACTCTGACCACAGCCTGGAGTTCGTTCCTGATGGGGCTCAAGGTTGACTCAGTCATCCATCCTTCCAGGGTTGATAAAAATGAGGAGCCACATTGTTTGGGGCAATATGATGATATTGTAAACTGCCCAGAGGGAGCAATAAAGCACTATGGGGTGATGTATCAGTCTATGTGCTATCGCTATTTGTCTGGATCTAGGAGCGTGTTTCAGATTCAGTTCCAAAACTATCAAACCTCACCTTTGGCTGCAGCAGTAAATCAGTGCTCTCCAAACACTTAAACCATAGCTCATCTTCTCAAGCTGACTTGGCAGAAGACCTGTAGATAAGAGTTCAGCTAGATAAGATCTTTAGGGAAGACAAAAATGACACCTCACATATAAAAATTGACTGCCCCCTGCAATGTAAAATGCCATAGATTTCTACACTCAAGGGATTAAATCCTAAATTTCTTCTTCCTGCTATCCTGACTTAACACGAAGGAAGTGAGCCACTTAGAAGCCTTGGGCATCTGTGATGGGGTTACCCAATGGTGTGACCTTCTTCCTTGCCAAAGGAGGCTGCTGAAGAACCAGATCTTCACAGATCTTATAACAAACAGCAGAGTGGGATTCATCCAGATTGTGGGGAGGATCTCATTCCACAGGGCAGGTGCACCTTCTCATAATATTACATAATATTGCATATTATTATTCATACATTTACATAATATTACTTCAATGGTATATAAACATTGACACATACTCTGATATCTCCAAATATGTTATTTGTTTGTTTGTTTCGGCAGTTGCAAACTCTAGATATGGACGATTATTTCCATGCAACAGCAGACCAAATATTAGCCCAGCTGTTCTTCAAAAAGCAAGCTGAATTTAAGAAGATCCCGAGGCTGAAGGAGGATCAAGCAATTAATCTACCATAGCATCTTATTCTTATTCTATGTTTTAGATTTTAATTCTAATATATAAGCTATCTAGAGTTGCCTTTGCAACTGAGGTGGTACATCAGTTGATTAATTTTAAAAAATCAACAATAATAAAAGGACATCTCTATTAATTCTTTTTTTGTAAGAATGCCAAAGGAGCCTGTCATTTTCAAATCTCATGGTTGAATTTTATAATATACTTCAAATAAAATAATTTAACAACCAATATGGGCATCCCATTTTCGTTTGTGTTAGGTCATTGAATTTAATAGCTGGAACAATGAAGTGTATGCTATAATTGTTTGCCATATGTAAAAAGGGGGGATTTTCCCGCCTTTTTCTTCTGTGAATTCTGTATACTGTTTTAGGTTTACCTCATGATACTATCTTGTGTTCTTCCTCTTCTGGATGAGGACAGACTGCTATAAATTTAAATGTTAGATATATTTATATAAAAGACTATTAAGTTTATGTCCATGTCTCCTACTTCACCTGGATGACTGCTCCACAATTCCTTGACAATTTGCACCTGCATAATCTCTATGTTTTGGCTATAATTGAAGGCATTAGTACAGTTGCCAATCTCACAGAGTTCCAGCACATTTTAGGACCTTGATAGTCTTGAAAAAAAAGCTAAGCAGGATCAAGCTTGCTTAGTATTTCTGTGGAAATTCTAGGGCAGTAAGTTAGACTCAATAAAATATTCTGGGATATGGCATTAGCCAATCACTTACTTTCTTATTGTTGCTGAGAAAACTACATAAGTATATCCATAAAATTACCCACAGTCAAGCTTGACTTAGCTTGACCTTTCTCTTTTTAGAAGAAAATAGGCACGCATTATCTTAATTTGCTATTGGTCATTCTCCCAGTGCTGTGATAGATTCACTTTCTAAATCATTTTAAGGCTAAGCATCCATTTTAAAGCATCTTTAGGTCCTTGAATCCAAAGCGTTGCAAAGCATAACTACATGTCTAGGTATATGGTTATACACACCACACACACACACACACACACACACACACACACGTATCTATGTATGGTTTTTGGATTTATATAAGGAAATGGCACACTATCACAGTGTTAATCCTAGGCACTGAATTCAAACTGCTGTTTCTTCTGAAAGTCATCAGGAAGTTGGCTTCTTGTTGAGTTGCTCAATTCATGTGCGATCAAATGTTTTATCAGTTGGAACTATACCGACAGTGCCATTGATTAATCTCTGGCAAGTACAGAACAAGGTACTTTCCAGCAGATGTCTCTCTTTAGCTGCTTTTTAAAAATATATATTGTTTAAGTTAAAGCTTTGCTATATTTTGTTCTGAAAGAAATTGGTTCAAATGATATGCTTAAGTCGTTTAGATACACTCACCAGCACCCACAAAGCAAAACAGAATATTGTTCCTATTCTTAAGTAGCTCAACAGGGACAACTGTTAATATTTTAAAAATATCCATTCAGGAAACTTTATCATAAAATCTAAGCTCTATTGTCCCATAAAAAAATCTGAACCCAGTTGTTGGGATAATAATAATAATAATAATAATGATAATGATAATGATAATAACAACAACAACATAGACAGATAAAAATGCCAAATCCAATCTAAACAGCTGACTAACTATGTGATTGACCATAATAATTTTTTACATTCATAAGGCCTCCAAATCATAGAGACTAATACCATGGTGCGCACTTACACACACACACACACACACACACACACACAGAACACATGTAAAATTTTGAGTTCTCAATAATTCAAAGGATGGTAAGATCAACCACGTCTCAAAAAAAAAACCTGTGCAAAGAAGCCCAAATACTATATTTTAACCTTGTTAACTGCAGGTTCAACACAAATTCATTATGTAGGTTCAATAGAGTATTTGTATTAGATATAATAGTGTCAGATTTTGTTTCGTATTCAAGCAACCACAACCATAGCAGTTTGATTCTTACACATACTAAGTCAAAACATAATTTTGTATAACATAGAATAACTGAATTATAGTTCTGGAAGGAAACACAAGGATCATTTAATCAGGCAAGAATCTTATATGTGCAAAATGGAAAGACATAACAATTTCCATAATGGAAGCATGGATGTTAAACAGATGGGGTTGGTGGAGATGGCAAAGCTGAACGAGTTTAGGACAACTTGCCACAAACAACTCGCCATGGCCAACTTGCTATGGGGCAAGAGTTACACTAATACTGACATAATGGTGGAATAAAAAGCATTAAAGAAAGGATGGAAAAGGAGGGACAAAATAAAATGGGAATGATAAAAATTAAAATACTTTTTAAAATTATTTTAAATAATTACACTGAATTGCTGAATTGTACCATAGCGAGTTAGCCATAGCAAGTTGTCTCCTTCCAAAGCTGACTGCTTTAATTAAAGACAAGAACTTAATCGCATGGAAACTGTTTCTGGGCAAAACAGAAAATGATGAAAAATTTGATTTTAGCTGTTGATAATTAGATAAACATTATGGCAATAGAAATGGTTTGTCTATTAGAAATGGAAAGCAAAAAGTTGTGATTGTAACTTTTTTGTACTCTTCTGCAGGGAAAAAGCCAAAAGTCACTGCTTCTCCCTCTTCTTTTTTTGTTTCAATATCTTTGGATACTTCCCCATTTCTCTTTTCTTTTTCTATTCTGATTTTTGCATCTATTTGTTTTTTATAATATAATAAATCTTAATACCTTTAAAACATCACGTAGTTCTTTAAAAGGAATGTAGTCCTTGACATTCAGGGAAGAGACTGCTAAAGGCACAGATGGTGTAGCTTTTCCCACCAAGGGGCACAAATATGAAACAGACACTTATTTATTCGCTTGCTTGTTGGTTTATGAAAATATTTGATTTTAATCCACTCAAGTGTGCTCAAATCAACTAATAGCTGGCAGCAGACATGTACAGATAATTTTTTATTTTAAACGTAAGCAAATAACTAGCACATTATCATCAAAGTGTGGCAATAATAAAAACACAAGGAGTAGCAGAGAGGAATTTTGGGAAGCAAATTACTTGCCCAATTACAAGTCATATTGTGGTTTGTTTGCTTTTGGCTTAACAAGTTGGTTGAATTCTGGTTTGTGGTTTAGCACAAAGACCACACCTTTTTTCTTTTCTTTTTTTGTATTTCTTCCCACCGGTGGTGGGATTCAAAATAATTTACTATCAGTTTTGTGAGCGAGGCTTGGTGGCTGTGGCATGGCTCGGTGGGCGTGACAGGGGAAGGATACTGTAAAATCTCCATTCCCATCCCACTCCTAGGGGAAGGTTACTGGAAAATCCCATTCCCCCCTCGCCCCACTAACCTGCTTTCCAGCTCCGTTCTCCTGTGAAGAGCAACAAAAGGAGACCCAGCAAATCAGCTGGGACTCAGGAGGCAGAGAATAGATAGGCGTGGGGGCAATCAGAGGTGATATTTGCTGGTTCTCCAAACTACTCAAAATTTCCACTACTGGTTCTCCAGAACTGGTCAGAACCTGCTGAATACCACCTCTGCTTCCCACCCAAGGTTATGGTATGTTTATGATGCGATCATATCAATGGAAGCGGACATTATGACCCAGTAGGATCATTTTTGAGGATTAAAAAATAAAGCTGGCACGGATTTAGCACCACAATTGAGCCCAAAATTTCTGTTGCTAAGTGACACAGTTGTCAGATGAATTTTGCCTCATTTTACGAACTTTCTAGCCACGGTTGCTAAGTTGAAACACTGCCGCCGTTAAATTAGAAACACGGTTGTTAAATGAATCTGGCTTCTCCATTGACTTTGCTTGTCAGAAAGTCACAAAAGGTTGATCACATGCCCCCCCCCCCCCCCGGACACTGCAGTGGTCACAAATATGAGTCAGTTGCCAAGCTTCCGAGTTTTGATCACGTGGTCGTGGGGAATGCTGCAATGGTCGTAAGTGTGAAAAATGGCCCAAAGTCACTTTTTTTCAGTGACATGGTAACTTCAAACGATCACTAAATGAACTGTTGTAAGTTGAGTTTTTATGTTATGTTTTTTAGGTATCTCTGGGAGAACTTCAAAAAAAAATCAAACCACGGAACATAGAAAAAAATGTGCAAATATTTCTGCCTTTATATCCTCCTCGTTCCTTTCAGGCTAACGTAGTATTAAAAAATAACTTTCTGCAGGCTGATTAGAACTTAGAAATCTTCCAATCAATAACAAGAGTCATACAATAATAATGAAGCCTCCAAACAAAGTGTCAGCCCATATTGCATTAAAAAAAACTGAGAAAGATATTGACAAATTGGTTTCCAAGATATCTTTTTTTCCAGGGTATATCATAGTTTACCGTTGCCCAGAAATAATTATATTAAAGTGAAACAGATTATCCACCAAAATCTCAGAGAGAGCTTATATTTGCCGTATTGTAAGCTTTTAAATTTATTTTGCAGGGCTAAAACAGGAGAAAAACTGAAATAGGGCTTTTAATCACTGGAATTAAATTGTGCTTTTTTGTCTGCATCAAAATGCGAAGGTATAGGAGACCAAGTAAATAAACAAAGGCACAGAAGAGGGTACAGTTGCGTGAAAAAGGATTGTGTTTGTGAAATCCTCAGCTCAATTTCATTTGCAGAGAGGGAAGAAGCATGAGAAATAATCATGATTGGCTATGCTTGTTACAGGCTCTTCTTTCAAGAGAACCTTTTGGTCCCATCTAAGGTCACTCTGCAGCCAGAGTGCTAGCTGATCTAATTGACTGCATGATGACTTTCCTAACTGCTCAATAGTTAGGTGCAATCATCTTACTAAGAGAGTCTCTTTGAAAAACTAAACCAAAGGGAATTGGCCCAAAAGTTTTGCACTGGGAAGGAAAGCAACTACGTAGTAATAGTGATTCATGTCTGAGAACCCTTCTTAAACCCTCCAAAATATCCAGCAATAGTATTTTGGGACAGCCTTAACCAGCATGGATTAATTTGTGGAAACGCATCTATTGCCTAATGACTGAAGCAAGGCAG